CGTCCATCAACGGAGCTGGTACTGCAGTGTGCAAGTAGTCCCGCAGTTGTGCCATGAGCACATTGCAATGCGGTTTCGGCAATCGTCCGGTCGAGGGAACGGGCATCCACTGGAAGTCCGTGAACGTCAACGGTCCGAGCTCATCAAGTCTTGACCATGACATCGAATCCCCGGCGATAGATTGCGGCGAAGGTGCCGAATCGGTTGCCGATGGTGATGAAACCGTGCATGCGGTGGACTGTTGCACGTGGAGCGGCTGGTCCAGCGGTGGAACCAAGTAGACAGCATAGTCCTCGTAAGATTAACGAGAACTTGCGACATTCGCGTCCTCCCCAGATGTGCAGGAGGCTGCTAGCAAGGCGGCCGAATCTGGCGGAGTGGAAGGTGGAGTCGCCTCACCTTCCGCGGAGCTCAGTTTCCCGAGCTGAGGCGGGGTCGCACATCCTCCTTGCCCTGATCGTGGCACAGGGAGGTCTTGTGCTTGGTGTTGTTGCACCAATAGCAGCTGCCGTAGCGGTCGCGGACTTTGTACTCCGCCTCGGTCAAGCCGAACTTGACCCATGGAACTTGTACTAGCTGTCCATTTCCGGCCTGCGATGCGGATTTCGCCTTCCCATTGTTGCGGGACTTGTTGTTGCTTCGTGGATGGACAACAGCCACCTGATCTCCGTCACTTGATGCTGGAGTGGCTGCTGGGTTATCTCCACTGTCCTGCTGGACTGCAGCGAAGTGTTGCTGTCGCGGACCAGTTCGTGCCTTCTCCACATAGGTCGGCTGCCATGTTGATTTCTCGTGTGCAGCTGACCTGTTGGTCTTGATGATCTCTCTCGCCTTGTTGATGATCTTTGCGAAAGTGTGGTACTGCTCGCGATCACCAAGTGCGAGGCTCAGAGCGGCGCATGACCTGTTGTAGAACTCACGGCGCAGATGCGGAAATGGCAAGTCCAGATCGGGCGTGGCCACGATCTTCTGCCAATCCGTGAGCCAGTCACGTGTCGGTGTGCTCCCTTGAGCCATCGTGAAGATGCGGTTGATGGCGAGCGCGGGTGCGTCATCCACTATGAACCGCTTCTTCCATTCCTTTGCCATATCCGCCCAGGAGACCTTCTTGTGTAGGTCTGAAACCTGGACGCCGTGGATGGTTGCCATGTGGTTGAGCCAGATCTGACATCCTCCCTTGGTGTTGATGAACAGAGCACTGATGACCAGATGGTCAGGGACCTCGTGGATCCCCAACTCCGTTGTAAATCCTTGCCACCAGACGACCAGGTCTTGATGTGTGTAGTCATCAAATTTCTCGATCCGGAACGTTGGCATCTTGTATGGCCTTGCCGAGCTGTTGTTGTGGCTGTGGTCGGTCTGCTGTTGCTGACTGATCTAAGTGTCCAGCAACTCGAACCGCTGGCTGATGGTGGCCGGCTCTGTGAAGGCACTTATGTCTCCTAGCATTGCCACTACGTGGTCAACGCGTTCCTCCAGTTGGCGGCTAGAGGATGCACTACTGGAAGCCCCAGCAGCTGGTCCTGGTACAGCCTGTTCCAGGTCCAGTACAGGGGCGTCCAGTGCCCGTGTGGCATCCTCATGCTGAGTCTTATGGTTCCGCACAGCCCACTGAAGGTTTGCCAGCTCGGACTGCAGGTGGTTACATGTGTAAACCAGCCTGGTCACGAGCTTGGCCATGAACTCCTTATGCTTCTCTTCCGGTGTTGGTTCGTCGCCGTTCGGTTCAAAGTGCCAGAACTTGAGTCTGTCGATGCTGTTGGCTTCATGCCGCAGCAGCAGATCCTGGGCTTCCTTGCGGCGAGCCTGGGTATCTGCGTCTGCTTCGGCCTGTAGCCGCAGCTTCTCTGCTGTTGCCGCTTCTTCAGCCTGTAGCTGGGCAGCCTTGACTGCCAGCTGGCGTTGTTCCTCAGCCTCGATTGCAGCGAGCTGAGCCTGGAAGCGCTTTTTGTAGTCGGCAATGGACTCATTGGCCAGTTGGCCTGACATGCCCAGAGCTGCGCCCGTCATGGTGTCGGGGCACTGCTGACGTGGCACTGTGTCTGACGTGGCACTGTGTCTGACATGGCACTGCTGACCTGGCACTGCTGACGTGGCACTGTCTCTGACGTGGCACTGTGTCTGACGTGACACTGTTGACGTGTCACTGTAGCTGACGTGTCATTGTTGATGTGGCACTGTTGACGTGTTACTGTACCAACCCGGAAAATGTATGCAAAGGGTGGGTGGGAGGTAACACGCAGGTAGGAAACCAACCCAACAATACTTTCCTCCGGCCCTAATCAACAGATAAAATAAAATAAAAAAATAAAAGAGGACTACTTCCTTTTTTTTTTTTTGTATATATCTGTCGATCTATGATGAGTAGGATATGTCAGAAGAGTATTATGAACG